CCCCCCCCCACACCCCCAGCCAATACAGGCTGGGGCAGGAGACCTGGTAGCTGTGTTCGGGACGGGTACACCTCCAGGCCTGGGCAAAGGGACAGGAAAGAGGGTCAGGGACCTGGGAATGCCCACCTAGCCTCCGGCAACTTTCCCTCCCACTGGGTTCTCACCAGAAGTGGAGACGTTGGCTATGTTGCTGGGATCACTGACATAGCTATCAGCAAAGGCCACGAGGCGGAACTCATAGAGCACGTCCTGGGGATTAGAGGTGGAGAGCCATGGAGCGCTTCAGGGCCAGCACTGCCCACCACAGTCCCTTTTGTGAAGACTGCAGTGGGGAGGTAAGAGTGAGGTAGGACCCGGGGTGAAAATGGCCAAGTCAGGATGAGAAGACGGGATTAGGACCGAAGAGGACACTGTCAAGTCCCTAGGAGGACCTTCCCTGCCTCCTTCACACACCTTGATGAGGCCAGGCACCAACAGCTGGATTTCTGTGCCTGCCACAGCTTGGTCCAATATCTCCCAGCCTTGGGAGCCTTGCCGTCCTTCCAGGACATAGCCATCCAGTTTCTTAGGGATGAGTTCTGGGGGATCCCAATGCAGGAGTACCCCGCGGGGTGTCCGTACTGCCACCAAACCTCTGGGAGGGGACAAGGGAGGTGGCATCTCTGTTGGAGGAAGCCTAGAGGCAGCTGGTGTGGTAGGAAGCCCTGGATGGTACAGACGGACAAACGAGGAATAAGAAAGAGTCTCAGAGTCCTTCATGCTGCTCCTCCCGTGGCCTTCGCCAACTCTGAGTACCCACACATTCTACCACAGCCTTTCTGTACCCTCTCCGGATGCCAAGCATCTTAGCATCTCTATTCCATCTCCACCCCAGGTCCCCCCCATGCTGTGCCTCATAGGGTTGGGGACCTCTTACCTTCCGGTATAGACAGGACGATCTCGCTGAAGGGCCCACTGCCCAGCTTATTCTGAGCAAGGACACTGAACTGGTACTGAATATGGGGTTGCAGCCCTGGCACTAGGAGGTGTGTAGCCCCCATAGGCACAGCCAGAGATACCCAGTCATGGTGGGCTCGGTCAGGACGCTTGGCCCTGGGGAATATAAGGAAATCTCATCGGCAAGGAGGATGGGGATGGTGCAGGGTCCAGAGAGCTGACCACACCCCTCTGCTCAACCACCAAGGTCTCAGGACCTCGGCCCTGAATGTTGAGAATCTATGAAAATAGGCAGCAGAGAA